AGGCCTTACACAGGCTGAGTCCTGTCCTCAATGTGAAGACCAAACCCTGAAACAGAGCTCACAGGCCTTACACAGGCTGAGTCCTACCCTCAGTGTGAAGGCCAAACTCTGAAACAGAGCTCACAGGCCCTACACAGGCTGAGTCCTGTCATCAGTGTGAAGGCCAAACCCTGAAACAGAGCTCACAGGCTGGGTCCTGCCCACCTCACCAGGCCCATTTCTCACTACAGCTATGCGGTGCAAATGGCTAACACACTCTAACCAAAAGGCTGGAGGTTCGAGTCCTTTCAGCGGAGTCCCAGAAGGAAAGTGTGGCTATCTACTTCAAAAGTCAGCCACTGAAAACCCTGTGGGGCTCTAACACACACAGAGACACCACGAATTTGGGTCATGTGTCGGCGACTGGTTTTTCAATCGCCTTGGTACTCAAAGTGGGGGTCTGTAGCCCAGCAGACTCAGCATTACCCGGGAGCTTGTTGGACCAGCAAAATTTCCAGCCCAACTTGAGAACTTCCGGGTCAGAATCTGCATTGTAGCATGATCCCCGATGATTCTGAGGCCTGTGAATGTCTGAAAAGCACGCTCTACACATCCCAGTCAGACGACATTTGTTCCCTACAACAAGCCAAGCTTCCTCTCGCTCCCCCCTTCCCCCCCCAGGCCTTTGCACATCCTGTTCCTTCTGCCTGCCCTCCCTCCCTGGTCCCTCCAGTCATCCTTTATCGTTGGGGTTCACGTGTTCCACTTGGGAATTACTCACAAGTTGCTCATCTATGAGCAGGTTAATCCTCTTCTTCCCTAACTCAGGGGTTAGGGGATCCTCCCATAGCTCCTGAAGGTCCCTCACAGAGCGCTGACCACACTCCCTGCTGACTTCATGCAGCGCTCATCACACTAGGAACCCCCGATGGACAGTGAGCACGTGCATTCTGTTCAGCACCATCCCAACCCCCAGCACTGCGTCTGATCCACAGACTTGTGAAATATACAAAAGGAAAGCAGTGGCTCTTACAGTCACAACCCTACTAACTGCCAACACCTTCTCTGTCATGTGACAAGTAGTTGGGCTTCGAGATTCTTCTGAAGACTACTAGACCTGGCCATTCCAGTCGTCTTGTGGACCCTCTTGCTATACGCGTAGACATTTCTGCCAGCTGGGAAATCCATCTTGCTGTGAACCTGAATTTGATTACCATGACAGCTGCTTGGTTTTAACGTGTCCTCCAGATAGGAGAGCCACCATGTGGTTTACAAAGCCTGAAATACGAGGGGGCTTCAAAAAGCTCATGGAAGAATGGAATTACGAGATACTGGAATTTTTCCATAAACCCTTTGAAGTCCCCTTTGTATCTATGGCCCGTTAAAGAAGAAGTTTGCCAACCCTGCTCTAGGAGATAACAGAACAAGGCAGATGGTCCCTTTCCAAAATGCCAGCCCTTCACTCATTTGAAGTTATCCACTGTGGTTACCAGGTTTCTCCAGACTCAACATCTCCCCACCCCTCAGACCTTCCAGATTCGCTGTTTGCCTCCCTCTCGCTACGTGGGCCAGCTCCCCTAATGCGCTCCTGCTTGTTAGAGCATGGGTACAAAGACACTCACCTCCAGCCTGCTCACGGTGTCTTCATTCCCCACAATTTCATTCAACTTGACTGGTCTGTACTTTTCAACCCTGGGGGGAAGCATGGAGATACTGACATGGTTCTTTTCACACTACCCCACAGAGTGTATACAATCAATAAAAACATTCCGGCATGATGGCGGACTAGGCAGACACACTATACAATGGACCCTCTACAACAAACATACGAGAGACCAAATGAAACAGACACAGATCAATCCTTGAACCCTGAATTTCAGGGGAAAGGTTAGAGAAGTGGTCCGAGTGCTTGCTGGGAGGGGCTGAACACCAGTGAGAGAGGGAGACTGACAGGTGAACAGCCAGACAGACATGTCGTGACCATCTTGAATTTTCGTGAGCAGCTTCGGTACCTGAAGGTGGCCTGGCAGAGCAGATCCACTCAGGCAACAGGAAAGGTGCCACTCCTTCTTTTTCCCCACATTCCCTGGTGACCAGCGGTGTGGCCAGTTCCCATCCTCATCCATCCCTAGTCCGGCCCCTGCTCGCTGGGAGTTCAGAGCTACATGCCAATGTGAGTTGGAGGCGGCTGCACTGCTTTGGTGTCTGGATTCAGGTGGGCTCTGTTACAGACCTACAGAACCAGCAGAGCCACCAGACCAGCATTTAACCGGTCACCTTGCTCCCATCTGCCCTGTAGTCCTAAGACACTGAAACCAGCTCCACCAGGGGCCACCATGAACGACTTCTGGATTGAGTGCCCTCGACACAGATAACCCCCAGGCCCACAGTAACTCCATCCAGAGCCAGGACCTCTGCTGTCACCTCCCGCCCACACTCACCTGGTGAGCTACTTGGCCCCACAGTTTTCTCCTCTCCAGCTCCAACAGCTGCACAGTTTTTATGTTTTGTTTTTTTTCCCTTTTGTTCTTTCATTGTTTTCATCTGTTAATACTTTTTCCTTCTCTTTCCATTCCCTTGAATTTTATCTTTTCTAACTCTGCTTTTGTTTTTCCTTCTTTTGTTATTTTTTTTTAGTGTTCTTTTTAAATTTCTTCCTTTTATTTCCTCTTATTTATCTCTTCTATAACTCCACCTTCCTATCCCTCTTTTCTCTTCTTAGTTTTCCTTAAGTGTTTTGTTTTTTTCCCCTCCAATTTCTTCCTTTTATTTTCTCTTTTATAGCTAGCTCCATTTTCCTATCCCTCTTTTGTCTTTATAATCATTATATTCTTTTTTTCTGGTTGCAGCTTATTATTATTTGTTTTTTCTCTTTTCATTTTTGGTTCCTTGCTTGTTTACTGTTTTGTTTTCCTGTGTGTGTGGGGTGGGTGTCTTTTTCTCACCCGATAAGAGGCAGCAACCATGACGGTACTGTCCAGCCACAACCGTAACTTCTGTAGCCCCAACTACTGGGCAAAAAGCTAATACCAGCTCCTATACAATCTGATCAAAAGTACACAGCAGTCAACACCGGCCAAACACACCCTAAACTCAGGTACATGAATGGAGAACGGTTCACACACCTGCATTCTCTAACTATACCTACAGGAGAACCCGGAACACATCAACAGACCATCATCAATTAAATACAAATGCAACAATGCCACAATGCCCTAGACACAACAGACAATTTTAGCTCACACGAAAAAACAGGAGAGAAAGGCACACATAATTGACTAAGGGGTACAGTCAGAAGATATATCCGAGGAAGAAAAGACAGTGGAACTAACTGAAAAAGAATTCAAAGGGATGATAGTACCTTCAAAGGATTGACAGGAAAGGTGAACACAGAAAAAACTTTAGATGAATTCCGGAAAACACTACAAGAACAAATAGACAAAATAAATGCAAATTTTGGAACAATACAAAACCTGCAATTAGAAATCCAGAAAACTAATGGTAAGATTTCAGAAATGGACATTACATTGAAAGGGCAGAGGACTACATGTGAAGCAATGGAAGCAGGAAGATAAATCTCTCAATATTAGTATGTTGTTGTTGTTGTTAAGTGCCATCGAGTCGGTTCCGACCCATAGCGACCCTGTACC